CTATTGATTAAGGATGCAGATAATAATTTTGTAATAATCACATTTATTCCTAGGTTTACAGCCCTACTGCCTATGCTCTGTGTTCTTGACACACCAATGGGTTCAGTAGATTAAAACTACAAAAGATGACTGGCGGCATTATTAATGTATATTCCTGGAAATGGTGGCAACTCTTTCTCCAGTATCTAAAGCGTGAGTTTCCTGAACTACCTTATTGTTAAAATCTGGACAACCAGAGGGAGAACTATGTTTTCTCTACTTTAAAATACCTGCTATGTTTGAGCTCAGGAGTTATAAACCAATGGGCCTTACTTCAGTATTTAGTAAATTAGCTGAAAAATAACTATAGGGGAATAATGACCGTGATAATATAAGGGCAAATCACAGCACTATCAAAAGGGAAATTTTCTTTCCTTCAGGGTGTCGGCAAAATAACAGATAACTGAGAAGTGAGAAGTATAATTTATTTTGGGTTTTAAAAAGCTGAAGAGGCTATTAAGGAAACTAAGAGTAATCATAGGGCAGGACTTAATGGACATTCATGGACTAGAAGCTGATTAAGGAAGGAAACAAAGAATGGAATAAATGGCTTTAGCAATTTAAAAATTGGACTGAAAGTGTAATTCTGTTTTTATATCCAATGGATCTTATTTATGGCATTGGGCGATATGTTATCATATATACACTCAGGATTCAGATAAATGAGCAGCAAAAAGTCCTTTCGATCAAGCAAAACAAACTACTCCTCATTTTGTTTTTTTTTTTTTTTAGCTTTACTCACATACCAATAACTGTCATTCCCAGAAAATCTAAATAGCTGTAGATGGGAAAAGTTTTTATTTGAGAGATGGATAACATTTTCAAGTCTACAGTTTTGGTGTTACAGTTTAAAACCCTCACCTTTATTTATTTGTTTTTATTATTAGAATGACAGCTGGTGTAATAATGAATTTGCATTTGGATATAAACCTGTAATTAAAAAAATCACAGATGTTATGCAAAAAAAAAATTGACAGTAGATCATCCAGTTGATGTTCCTGTCCAAATGGAAATTTTTTCTCAGGTATGCTTTTGTGTATTTTGTGGTGGCAGCTTCTAAGTGACAGCACTGAGTATTTAATGATTTTTGCTTTCCCCAGTGTCATGGATTGTATCATTAGACTTGTTCATATTTGAGCTCTTCAAATTACCTGGAATGTCAGCAATGAAATATTGTTCTAAGTCTGAACACAAGAATGTGCTTCATAAAACAAGATTTCTTTCATTTTGAGTCTCTAGGCTGTATGTGTGCACTTGAATTCATGCATATACATGCATGGAAAGGAACAATATACGGGTATTAGTCGGCTGAAGGTGTTTCATGTGTTGAATGCACATTCCAAGGGCTGTCACGTCTTGGGAAAGTTGCAGGACAGCTGTCAGACATAAAAAGGGCTTTTATAAAAATAGACTATGATACAATAGGGTGAATAATTTTCAAGAAAAAATATTTTGACTGAATATTAGGAAGAAAGGCTTCTAACCCAGGGTTGTGAAAGACACAGAAATGGTTTACAGACAGCGGTTAAAGACGCTGCGTCACTGGAGATTGTCAGAGCTGGAGAAACATCCCTGAAGATAGATGCAGCAGCAAAGCTAATTTAACTCAGAACAGTGCCTTGAAAGTGAAGCTCAATTATGTTAATTGGTGAGACAGTTCAGGATAGGGAGTGGTTGCGTTCTCTGCTTTGAGGCTTATCAACAGAGACAAGTGTGCTCTTTGGGACAGGAGTACCAGTCTGAATTTCTGTTATCAGTGGACTCAAGAAATTTATGAATTTCAGTTCCTTAATGAACTTCTCAGAAGCATTTTTAAGCCTCAGAATCCCCTGTCCCAAAATTCTCCCTCGTTTTTAGGCTTGTACCATCACAACTCTATCGCTCTTACTTGTGTCGTCTAGGCCTTGGAGATCCTGGGTCAATGTAAAGGAATGGCTTAGACAGAGACCTTGGTGACTTTCTATAGCTGCAGGTTTTTTGTATGAAGTTCCCATTGTCATTAGTATGGAAAGGATTCATTCACTGTGTTAAATTCCACAAATGTGTTGATCTTTGTCATGTGTTAGAAGGTGTTCCTTAGTCTTATAGATCTTTGTAAGTTTAATATTGGACAGTCTGAACTTGTGTTTAATATTGTGTAAAGTTCTGTTTCTAGGTATCTGCGAGGGCTGAACAAAGGGTGAATATGTTCTATCACTGCCTCTCAGGATGTCTCTGTTTAATGATGCTGACTCCCTTTTATTTGATTAGGGACTTAGTGCTATCAAAACAGTCATGCAGATTTTATTACAGGTGTAGAGAGATGTTGTTTCATTCTATTCCTTGGATGGATTAATAGTTTTTGACATAAACCTATGTGAACACCTTTATTCTTCATTATTTTATAAAGAGGCCACCCAGTGAGCTATTTCAGTGAAAGAAAAAAAAAAAAAAAGTGTTTATATGTACCTAGGGAGGATGATTTGATGTAACAATAATAATAAAATAATGCTGATGCGATCATAATATCATTTTCATTGCATGCGGGTGGAAGCTGAAACTTCTGTTACTGATGAGATACTGATGATGAATAATCAGCTTCACATCCTAGAGAGGTAAACACAATCTGTGTCTGAATGTATATCAAGGGAAATCCTTCATGTATTTTAATGAGTCTTTGTGCATGGATGATATTCTTAGATTCCTTTTCAACATGATTCTTTCTCATTCAGCCCACTCGTTTTCGTTATAGTGGTCGTACTGGAGCATCCCTTTCCCGTGCACAGCTCTGGTGTCACCACAGGCAGGGAGGTGGCCATGGCAGGGTAACTGGTCATGCAGCATCCTCACAGCTAGGCGCTGAAGAAAGCAGGAAGTGATGTCAAAAATGGAAGGTAGAGGAGCAGAATCAGATGCAAGGGGAGAAATAACTGTAGAATTTCACAGTAGGGAGCGATATAGCAAAGAGATATCCCAGCAGAGGTTGTGGAGAGACAGTCTTGCCCAGGCTGGAAAGGAACAGATACAAAAACAGTGTTTGCAGCTAAGTTTTTAATAATAAGAAAACAGCATTGCAGAACTGGGCACTCAACTGCCACTTTACCTGGAAAAGATTAACAGCTGCAATGATGCAGATACAGGTTAAACATCACATCATCTTAATTTTCAACATAGGCATATTTCTGGAAAAATTATAGGTATTTACTGAAACATCTTTCCATATGATCTGTTTCAATATTAATTATTGCACTAAGCATTCAATAAATAGGACAATTTATCTCTTTATCTCACATCCTAATAACATGCCTGAATTTTATCACTCATGTAATAAATGAAATTATGTCATATTGTAGCATAATGTAACATAAGAGGCTAGTATGCCTAAATAGGTATTTTAAGAACATGATAAAAACAATTTGAATAGTGGAAGCCATTTATAAATATCAGCTCATTAGTGAAACTTAGCATAACTTTTTTTTTGTCCTTCTAACCCTCCTGTACAGCTGTGTGGGCTTTACCTTGTGTTTACCAAGTAAAGCCCTCATTTTAGTAGAAATCCCTAAAGGATATCTGTTGGTTTTAAAGTTTTGAGGTACCTACTAACCAGGGGTATAAAAGAATCCACAAAGAAAGGAAAAAAGCAGACAGACCTGAGAGTATCTTCCTAGTAATGAGTCTACCATTAAATGTTGTTGACAATATAGAAACTGGATTAAATTACAATGATGTACAAATTAACTATGAAAAGTGTTGTAGAGACTTAGCTGGTATTGGAGAATCTGTTCTTCCAAAAGGATTTGTTCATTTGAAACGACAAAATATTTCAGTTCTAATTTAGAGATTACTAGACAGTTATACCAGCTTCAGAAAAATACTAGAAAGTAGGTCAGAATCTTAGTCACAAAAATGCTGAAAAACTGCAAAAAAATTTGTATATTAATTTAATTTTTGGTTTCATCCTGTACCTGATAGTCCTAAGGTGTTTTTTTCCAGAGCTACTATTATGCAAATAAGCATGCACTCTTTTAGTTCAAATTAATCTATTTTTTTTCACTGAGAGGACTGTGGAGTAATAAAAATTAGACAAACCAAATTATTGAGTTGTCAGTGGTATGAGCTTCTGCTTGGATTCTGGAGTGTTGATTCAAACTAAGATTTTTTGTTTCAAATCAGTTCAGGTTTTCCTAGCTGACTGTAATGTTTTCTTTTTTAATTACATATTTAACAAAAACATTGCTTGTTGACTTACTACAGCAATATTTAGAGCTAATAATACTGATGCTGAAGAAATCTCTGTTGTGTTTTTATCTAGTTGTTATCACAGTCTTTAGAAGGTAAGTAATTAAAATGTTAATGTTTATGGATTTATTTGTTTGATTTTAGTTGTCTGTTTGCAAAAATGTTTCAATTTGGCCATTTTGTTCTGATGCTGTTGCCTAGCTTAGCCTAGAAATGAAAAAATTACTTTTATGAGTATCGTAGGTTTGTTCTTGAATTGTGTATTAATAACCTCACTTTACTTGAACGCAAGGTTCTAGCACTTAGGTTGCAAAAGGATGATAGTTGATATAAGTACTACTATTAAGATGATGTCAAGTATGTGTTCACATGGTTAGTAGTGGATTATTAATGGTGTACGGGGGCATTTCGAAGATACCAGACAGTAAAAAATAACTTTATTTCCTTGCCACATTTTGATTCACCATAGTCAAGCTATTTTTATGGGTAGTGACCAAATTCTGCAGATCTGTAACTTTTAGACAGACCTTGCATAGACCTAGGCTAATGAAACCAGCTTCACAAGGAAAGTAGATATCAAGCAATTCTTCCCTTTGACATTAAGTTCTCATTTTTTTCTGAAGAAACACAATAATTCGGTTTCTTTTTTTTTTTTTTTTTTTTTTTTTTGTTAATGTACTGTGATTTCCCAATAAAATGCAAAATAAAATTAAACAAATAAATAAAACATTAGCAGAGGCATCTGTAATATGTAGAACAACTAGTGTTTACCAGTGTGGGATGGAAAAACTCTCAACAATTTCTGTAGCACGGCTTTACCCCCAGTGGTACCTCCTCCAGAAGGCAAACTGTACTCATGAAAGAGTTTGTGGTGAATGTTCACTTTCAGGCTGGCTAACAGATGGCGTTTGGCTACCTATGACTAATACAGATAATTTTTTTCTCTTGATACGGTGAGTACAACAGATTCAAGAAAGCCATTATGCCTGGAAAAGTAGCTGTGTTGCACAGAGAAGCAGTTCTTCTGCAGATCGCTAAGCAACTGGTGGGTATTGAGTACTTTGCTATAATCTCTTCTCTGACTTATATTCATAGGTGTTTAAGTCTGGCATGACTTCTTCCTCTGTCTTCTCTAAAATCCTTGATCATTTCTAGAAACCTGGAGCACATAAACATTTTGCATAGTTTCCCCCAACTCTGCAGAGCCAGTCCAGTTCAGTGGTGCTCAGGTTTGTTTGGTTTTTCTTTCCACATACTAGTCAAATGAAAAACATCACACTCAAATAAATCCATTCTCTCTCATTCCTATAAATTAGAGAACACACCTTAAGATTGCTTTCTGGTATTATTTAAGACAGTGAGTGCCAACAGTGATGCTACGTATGTTATATGTGTCATATGTGTCAACAGTGATGTTACATATGTGTCTGTTAAGGGAAGAAGATAAGTCAGTGGGTAGTAGTGAATTTGGTTTTAATGACTTAGAAAGCAAAAGGATCATTGTTTTGGTGTAGGTAATGTCAGTGTAGGGTATGAACCAAAATCTTCCTGACTGGGTCTTCTGGTCTAATCTTTCACATCCACAGATGTCAAAACTGAAAAAGGCAAAATTAAATTCATAAAAGCATAATGTCACCCTAAAGATGGAATATTTCTTGTATCTTTAGCCAACAGTAAATTTATGCTTTACATCAAATATTAAAGCTTCAACAATTTGTACAAAACTTTTGTGCAGAAACAGTGCCATACAAAAGTCATTCTGAGAAAGGAGAATCTGAAAAATTACATTAAACCTTCAAAACTTTGTATTTTCTGCTATTGTTTGTTATCACAATTGTTTTGAAAGCCAGAGGGCTGCACATTGTAAAAAGACCTCATTCTCCTCCTACTGATACTAAAGCCTGTGATGGTATTGTGATGCGAGTAAAGAATTATGTTGATACAATATATTTTCACTCTTGTTCTGTCCCTATTTTGTGCTTCTTTCACCAGCTTTTTTTTATTATTATTATCATAGAAAGAAGATTTCTGTGGGAAAGAGTCTGGGATGCTTTTATGGGAATGGTGAGGGAGAGAGGAAGTTGGAGAGCTGCTTTGTTTTATTTTTATCCTATTTACAGTTCTTAGCACAATTAAACTTTGACCAGTGAATGAACACACCATAAGGATATATTATTGATAACTGCTGATCTAACAAGGAGCGGTAACAATTGCTTCATGAAGGAGTGAAGGGAGGAAGGGAGGACAGAGAATACTTCCTACAGTAACTGCTTTTAAATGTAAGTATAATTGGCTGGAAAATGGATAAGAAATTAAAAACAACAAAACAAGGAAACATCTAGTTGATGAGGTCTAATAGCTAGTATGCCTGAATAAGGCAATCTGCTGCCTTTTAACAGCTTCTCCTGGAGGTTCGCCTTTAATAGCCAAAACTCACACCAGCCCCCTGAAAATATGAAATTATGGAGCGTTTAGACATTTGCCTCCCAGGAGGGCTGTGTTACACAGCACCACTGCACCACCGCTCGCTGCTGCCAGTGCTGTCCCAGTCCTTCCCATCGCAGCTCTCCCCATGCCGGGGTGCCAATGGCCAACATCCTCAACGCATCTCCCACGCGCTACCCTCACGCCGAAAAGTGTTGTAGAATCCCTGAGGCAGCTTCTGAAAGATGTTGTCCGGTGCTGAGTTCCCGCTGAAATGGCCGAAGTCAAAGACTGCTCAGTTGTACTTAGGAATTACCTTCTTCATTAAATCACTTCCCTAAATTGGTCCGTAATCTCAGTTTAAAAACCTCCCGGTAAAAGCTCATGGCTGCTATCGGCTATGAAATTATTCAATCCTTAGTTTAAATTCATTAAATAGTTATGTGGAAAGGGGAGCAAGCCATCTGTAATAAGCTAAAACTGCTGACACAGTACTCATAATAGGTTCTTTCCCAGAGGTTTTTATTGCAGTTATATAAGAAATCATCAACTTATGAAGTTCAAAGAAACTTTCAAAATAGATCTTTTTTTCGTTATATTTTTGAGCGATGTACCAGGAGACCATGAAGATATTGCTCATAATAATTAGAGCTGTGAAACCTTGGGAAAATATGCCTAGGGACAAAGGAAACTTTTTTATTTACAGAAAGTTTGAATAATACTTTGAAATGGAGGAATGCATTTAAAATCCAACTAGCCACTGACTCTGGAAATCACTGCAGTTAGTTGCATTAGTTTTCTCTTAACAGTAAGTCAGAGAGAATAATATGCAGACCTCAGACACAAAATCACGATGCACAATCGTGCAATGCAGTCTAGATTTGGGGTTCTCTGTAATCGTACAACAGGTAATTCCAGGATGAAACCAATGGGATTTACAGCATGGGTAGTTCCAGGTTGTAACTAAAGAACATGGAGTTGCAGTCTGGAGCAGGAGATGGCTTCCTCAGCCTCCAGCATGGGCACCACAACTCAGGAAATAACACAACTGACAGTTTCTCACATGTTGGACCATCAGAATTATTGTGCTGGCCAAGACTGTGGAAATGAGATCTGGGAGCAGAAGAGGTCTAGAGGGTTTATTGGAGTTGTTTCAACTTGAGATAGAAGACAACATTTGAAATGAGCTGGGGACATGAGCTGTTTCATAACTCTTTTACCTTTCTTAGGGAGCTAGCCACAGAAAAAAATACCACTCTTGGGTCTTGATGTACTTGGTTTCATTATTCTTGTTACAACAAACACTTAAATAATGTCTTTTTTTTTAGTTCAGATATCTCCCTGACTTTAGGCATCTGTTGCCCTATATTCAAGTCTATACTTTCTAGCCTCTTGCTCATACATCTATTAATATTCACACTGGACAGACGTTACAATTCAATGTGAATAAGTACACTGAGAAATTATTTCTTTCACAGTCTGCACACTACAGTACAAATGACATCCTGACCTCTAGAGCAACAGATTCATTCAATTTGGCAGAAAATCACAATTTCTACTTTGAAACTATTGATTTCCCAAGAAAATACTGAAATGCCTTGTCGTTACCAACTATTTGGACAACTGTGGAAATGGAATATCTATGTCATTTATAAAAGATTAACTAATTAAATCTGCTTTTTTCTTTTTCTAAGAGGAGTCTGTGTGAGCACATACACAATAACCATTAAACAGTAGTTAATTTTTTTTTCACCAGCATCCATAAATAAAACTCCTAGCCTAAGGGAAATAAAAACAAACTATATTCTCTGTTTCAGGAAGAAGTCTGAATAGTCAGTGGAACTTGCATCATGCCAACACACATTCGTGATCAGTTAAACAAAGTAGAGTAGCAGTTGTATTTTTACTTTTTTTTTTTTTTTTTTTTTTTAATTTCAGCTCTAGAAATGGAAGCAAGCAACTTCACAGGGAAATCAGGATCCAATGCTAGTAAATATAATGTAAATAGCAATTAGAACACAAGAAGTCTGAGTTTACAGAGAAGGGGAGCTAAAAGGATCTCTAGTCATTTCCAAATGCAATATTTTTGGAGATTTAACACAAATATAATTTTTTAAGATTCTTAACACAGGATCATGTTTGTAAAACTGACAGGATGGAGAATTCTCCAGGCACTTAACTGGCCTGTCCTGCAAAATCTGGCAGGTATGTTTTGTCTGTAGCTTTTTACTCCTCTATGTGATCAGGTACCTACATCTCGGCTGTTTAAACTTAGTTCCACCCCTGCCTTGCTGTTCACATCACCCACGGGCAGACCCGCCACAGGAGTGACTATGATCCTGCCGGTGCTGTGTCCCTTCCGTCTCCTTGCTGATATAACTGTCAACTTCATTCCTGTTGAAAATCTGATAACCCGGTATGTGCATCCTTTTTATCATGCTCTTCTTCACTGTCTATCACTACAGGTTTTTAATCTGGTGTAGACATCGTCACATTTATTTTACAGTGCACATTGGCTAGCTACTGAATGACTTTATCCCTACTGCTTGGTACCCAGGACACTCAGCCAGCTTAACATGAATGCAGAGGCATGACGGCTTTAGTCAAAGACTGCAAACTGTTTCTACTGCAAGCAGTAATGCTCAAGGTTTACTATTCTGTAACAATGAATTAGTCACAGTTCTTTTTTATTCATGAAATTATTTCTGTAATGAAAGCATAGGTAACTTAGTTAAGAGGTTACAATTTTTAGTTTTGTACAATTCTGGTGTTTATGAAATTTTGAGTGTGCCATCATTTAACCATTACATGATAACGAGTGTAACCTCTGTAAACATGTGCTTGTTGATTTACAATTGTATTTGTATTAAGAGTTCAAGTTTAAAACACACACAGTTGTAATTAGTGCTGCTTCTTTTCAGTATTTTGTGTCAGTCATTATCAAGTACTGGCATGATTATTCTGTATATTAAAAATTCCTGGGATAAGGTCTGGGACATGCTGAAGATCTGAAGAAGATAATCTATTTGGTGGTTGAGTTATGTTAGCTCTAGGCCTGCATTATACTTAATTTTATAAAAGAGGACCATTGACTTTAGTGGGATTCTTCATGGTGCTTGACATTTGAGGAGGTTAAAAAGTCTCTGAATAATTGGAATTGCAGTTAGCAATAATGTGCATGTCTTGTCACTCTTATTGATGAGCAAAGATTTGAAGGACAGTTTCCTTATCTGTGGCTCCAACATTTATAAAGAAACTGCCATTTATTCTCTACAGTATCTTTCCATACCGACCTCTGATGTTTTGTGAGACAGTGAAAGCTCTTTCCGTTCCACGTGTCTCAGCTCCACAGTGAGACTGCTCAAGTACGTGAAATAAGCCATGGGTTCAGGTATCTTTCTCAGTACTCTCACCAGTTGTACGAACTTCCCTCCTCTACAACACAGAGGTGTAATACCAGAATGGCCATGGTGGGGATGCACAGGATTTTGAAACACCAGAAAAATGGCTGATTCTATCTACATTAAGGCATTGAACAGTGTAGTAATTTTAATCCTTCCCACAAGAATTCACAAGATATATAAAGCAAATATAAAGATAGCTTACCAAAATTACTAGAATTCTGCAAAGTGAACATGAGGATTCGTGTCGTACGCAGCCAGTGACAGGTGATGTGAAGTACCCTCTTGAGCAGAATTCAAAAGGTCTTCATAATCCATCGTAACAAGGATGATCTGTGGTGATACCTTCTTGAAGAAACATGCTAAAGAAAACTGCACCACATGCTAATGTATTTCTTTTAGTTACATGTTCTTCAGAAGAGATATTTTAGGAATACTAAAACTATTAAAATCTACTTTAGGTACCTGTGTTAAATACGTTTAACTAGCTGTACGTGTTAAATTTCTTTTCGTTTATGACAGAAGATGGGGAGAAAAAAAGGGGAAGGATCTGCTAATTCTGTAACACATCCTGTTAAAAAAAAATGAACTTTTTTCATAGACATTTTCAAATTACTGTGAAAAATGTTGTCAATTTCAGTATTTTAAGAAAGGTTTGGCAAAATGTATAAGAAGAACTATCCAAAGATTAGATATACTTTCTGTATAAATTGAGATGGTATAGATGGAAGGTCCGATATATAAATCTGTCAGCATCCTGTATCCCATCACTGACCGGGTCACAGTCTTACATTAACACATTAACTCACTAAAGACAGGCCATTTTGTTTTGCACAGCATATTGTTATATTGAAGCGTAGCTGTATTTGTAAACTGTGAAACCCTCGAATTTTGGAGATCCTCGTGGAAGAGCAGGCAGCACTTGGGCAGCACGTGGCTGAAGCTGGCTCATCAGTGGATAAGGACAGCTGCTGGGGAGCTGGTCAGACAAATTGCTGTGAGAACGCTGCCAGCATTAAGGACACTGAAAAATCTCCATGTAATAGAGGTCAGTAAACCCCAACAAAATCGCTTTATCATAATTTTTCTTATCCACTTAGTCTTGACAGAAAAGAGAATTAGACTGCTAGATCTAAGATATTATAAAATAGAGATGTTACTCTTTTAGGACCACATAATGTTGTCTTTGTGCAGGTATGCAGTTATAGTATTAATGTAAAATATAGTTCAGACTGTTAATTAAATTCATTTAATTGCAGTGTATTTATGCTAAAAAATGTGAATTCAAATAGGAATGTGTTCAGCAAAAGACTATTAGGTTGATAGGGAGAACAAAGGACCTAATTTCTGATTTGTTTAGCCTACCAAAATGAAAGGTGAAAAGACTTTTATCTGCAAATATCTCAAGGGGTTAAGAGTTGGGAAAAAATAATTTATGATGCTGCTGTTGTAACAATAACCAATGGGTCATAAATAAACAGGGACCAGAAGGAAGATTAATTTTAATTGCCCAAGGAGAGGTGTTTCAGATCTGTCTCCTGGTGACTGTGATATTGTAAAGGTCTCAACATTTTAGCTGATATGTTTAGCAAGCGTATGAAAGGGGTTTTACTCTGTGACTGCAAAGCCAGTGTGGGGTTGCAGATGCTGATCTGCAGTAGGCAGAAGGGACAGGTTGCACTGTTCAGCTGGCTGTGGAGTTTTATTTGCCATCCTGACAGCAGAAACAGCAAGGTGATGTGGTGCCTGTAGAAAGCCGCAGCTTCTGTAACGAGTTTACAGCAGACTGAGAAGAAAATTCGTCCAGAAGATCCAGCTCAAAGAGCCATGCAGTATTTAGAGCAGGCCCATATAGGCCTGTTGGGACCACTGGCCCATGGGCCTACCTGTTAGTCCTGGCCTCTGGAGGGACAAAAAAATTACATATTTGCTGTGTTAAGCAGTAAAAACTCTTGGTTTTCTGAGGAGGCTTTGTGTTCAGAGGTTGAGGCTGGACGACATAGCTCATGGGGGTGAAGAACAAAAGGCCTGGTGGATTCATGGCTCAGATAAGGAGAGGGAAGCTTTTCTCTGAGAGACACGGATACAGGTAGCCTTATGGATCTGTGTGGCATTCCACTTGTGATGGCACCCGAGTTGTCCCATAGGGCTTATAATTTGTGGCTAGCTGACTAAATCCAGCTTTGAGGCCAGCCCTGTTCCTACAGGTTCAGTTTCTGGATAAACCAAGTGGGTTATCTGCCATTATTCCTTTATGGTCCAACTCCTACTGCAGGTAAGAGCTGTCTCAGCATTGCAGAGTGACATCTTAGTCTTATATCAATCTGGAAAGAAGCTACAGCCTTGTCCAATTAGGGAGGAAGGGAGAAGCTCTCGAAAGCTCTGCTATCATCTAAATGGTTAACACTCCTGACAATATCCTATCCATGGTTTTAATTTCCTTGCAGATATACGCCTTTGCATATTCACAGGACTTGCAGTGCTTATCCATGTGGTTTTGGTACGGAGAGTGAGAACCACCAAGATTCTGGTGGGAATGTAGTGACAGACTGAACAAAGATGAAGAGACGGTGATTACCAATCATCACTGCAACCTCTACTATTCAAGAGTAGCTTCTTGGATCATCATCCAGATGGGTTAGGGCCTCCTGAGATACTGCCCAGTATGCTCTTTTGAATGCTGAATGTCATCCTACAATTGAGGTCAGTGGTGAAGCCTGAAGGATCGAAGTGAAATTGTAGTATCACACTCAAGAACAGTTCTGTAAAAATGAAAATAATGTCACAGCATTCTCTGTTCTGGTTTTCCACTTCAAATGCAACCAGTTTATAGATTAAAAGAGTTACTTCACTAAAACCATCCCTACTAACTCAAGCTTAGATCTTTCGCTCATGGTTGGATCTAAAAGTCAGAGTTCTCTTTCTGGTGCCCTGTCATCAGTAATAAATATGTTGCAGCCCCTAACTTGTACCTTTCGTGGCCTCATTGACTTCAGTGGGTTGATCAGATGTAATTAATTCACTCTCGAGTTGTTTAATGATGCATAAGAAGGAATAGATTCTAGATCAATCTCGTAACTGCTTTGCCTCTGAAATCTAACAGGATTAAAGCACCATTAAAAAGAAATCCAAGTACTTCTGTGAGCAGTGAAGCTAACGAAGGCAGGATTCCTATGGATTTGTGTCTCTTGGTTGATTGACTATTTAACTGATTTATATGAAGATTATGTTATCTCTGAATATGCCTATAATCCCTTTCTGCTGAATATTTTTGCAGTTACATGCTGGTTGCTGCAGAAATTCCCCAGTAGGATCAATAGTTATTAGGACAAAATTGTTCACATCCTGGTTTCTCTTTCACCTAGCCCCCTAGTTTTACAAAATTGGAATGATTTAATATTTTCTTTGCATCTTTTGCTGCTACATTTTGTTGGGAAAAAGCACAGAAACATAGTCATGAGCTTGATAAACCATGATACCATAAAATACAATAAATAAATAAAAAAGACCAAAAAAATAAAATAAAGTGTATGTCCTTCAATAAAATCTGCAGGACTGTGAGAATAAGAAGAAACTATCCAGAGATGTCTCACAGAGCAATCTTGAAAGCTGCCCAAAGGATAACAGTATTGGGAAGAAAATGCTTATGACTAAGACAAAAAAAAAAAAATGTTGGAAGTTAAATCAAGGATTTGGAATAGAGAACTACACTTTTATCTTTACAAAAACCTGTTCTTTTACAAACTTTTGGAAAATAGTTGTGCTTAAATGCAAGACTAAGATTTGAGGTCTCATTGCTCATGAATAGGGGACAAGTATAAGCACTCTCTTTTTTTTCTCTGAGTTACACACAGTACAAAATTTATAGGAAAATAGTTACTGGATCTTACTCAGCTGTCAGATTTGGTTCAAGTTGGCCCATGAGTTCCAAACCCATTATCTGAATGTTTATGCAAGTTTTACTCATCAGAGGAGGGAAGGTAAATCCAACCTCAAAAAAAACTTTGAAAATATTTACTTTCACTGTGAACTTGGTCACACTTTCTAGATTTCATTGCCTAGTCCATGGCTCCCTGTCACTGCCCTGATGTTTGTAGCGAGCAACATCTTGATCTCCAGTTTGGTAATTCTTTATTTTAAGTAACTATGTTAATTGCTTCAATGGAGGGATATTTAGTGAGGGCTGATTTTGATTAATTTCTCATATGCACACATTTACTCAGCTAATGGTGTTTAAAGTTTGCAGAAGCATATAGTTCAAAAAGGAATTTCACCAAACTCTATAGGTCCTAGAAAATACACTAATATACCTGGCTAAACGGGATACCCAGGATGACAAAAACTCTATTAAATCCTTGTGAGTTTGCCAGTTGTAAAAGTAATGCATATGTAATTCAGGAGTAGAATAAATCATATTTAAAATGTCATGTCACTTACAGCTCACTAAGTTTTAGAAAATTCAAGCTACAGTAGTTCAAAAATTTTCAAAGCATTATAATTTATGAAAACCTAGAAACAGGGAAATTAGGGAAAAACCCAATACCTGGGAATGAAATTAATCTATCTAATTTCACACAGAGGAGAAAAGGAATAACATTCGTGTGTGTTCATTACAGACTTTCTACAAATTTTATATTATTATTTTTGTCTGTGTTAAAAAGCTGTCTTTTTTTCTGATTTTTTTTTGTAATTGTAGAACTAGTCTCAAGCAACACTTTTCATATCTAAGAATCCCAGTCCCTGCATATTCCATAACTCACTAAAAGAGACTCTCCTAGTGTAATCATAACTATGAAATTAATCATATTAGAATAATACACTTTATTGTGTATGTCATGAATATTGCTGCTGCATTGCAGTATCAGTAATACATGCATTCAAACTATGTACATCTGATGTAATTTGGGAAATATTATTTTTGCAATCATAGCTGAGATTAGAACAGACAATGCATGTTAAGTTCAAAGCAATTTGTCCATTTTGCTGCTTCTGATTCTTCACTACAGGAGAAGTTTAGATTATATTAATGTGCTTTTTGTTCAGCTAGAGGAAAACTCATTACAAAAGAATTCAATAAAAATGGGTAATTTTAATCAACTTGATATATTTCTCCTAGGCTACTATATTATGAATCAATAGTAGTAAATCCATAGTTAAGACTATAACTTGCAAGCCATTGCATAAAGATCCAATGACTTCTGTGTTTCAGGGTGTTGAAGAAAAATGCAAAGAAGGGGGTAATGAAAGTTTAATATCTGAAATTGTTCCAGTTAAAATATATTTTCTGTTTCTTTTCAAAATCTGTGATTAATACAGAAATGCTATATACAATTTTTTATTTTAAAAATCCAACATAATTAATTTAATTATTCCTCCCTCATTATTTCTCTGCCCTCTTTTGATTGGCCTTTCCATGATGCAGATTTCAGCAAATGAAATTCAGTGGCAGAATTCATGGACTGGAGCTGGAAGGTGAAGTGGTTGTGAAAGGTGATTGCATGATGGTGAGTTCCTGCATTGGGAAGCTGTCCCTTTAAGAAGCTCTGAAGAGCAATGGGTCTCCCTGCCAGACACAGACAGAAGAGGATTTGAAGACATCTTTTAAGATAAATGTAAATATGTAAAATGAAAAATTTTGTTTTATCTACATGAGATGACTTCTGAGAGAACAAGTTGAGTGTGTTTCTTTGGCTGATATAAAGAATGAAACTTAAGATGAAACTACGAGAATAGAACTTGACTAAAATACATCTCCTACAGAGAATTTCCCTAATTAAATTGAAAAGTTGGCACATTTGTCAGTCTTAAACATTAAAAAGAGAATAATTTATGATTTATGGCAATCCCTGTTTAATTGTACAAGTTTCAGATAAAGCATTTCCTAGACCTTGTGAGATCAGATCTCAAGAACTAGGACCTGGAATTCTTAAAAACAAGTAATACAATGTTATTTTAAGGTTGGCAGCTTTTAATGATGAAGATCAGGACAGTACAAGACAAATGAGTTACTTTCCATTTGTGTGTGTGTCCAGGAAGTACTAAATGAGTTGGATTAGTTGCTTATTGCTCATGTCTCTCCCTGTGTGAGTTTATACAATAGCCACATTCCCAGATATCCTGAAAATATATGAGCCAGACAGCCAGATTTTGTATGCTTTTCATACAAATAATCAAAGTTAATTGTATAAAGAGGAACATCCCCTAGTTTAATCCATGTATTGAATTTATTTAAAACAGAAGAACCACATGCACTTGTGAGATGTGAGATAGTTCAGGATTTTTTTACTTAATTCCTTGATGCTGAATACCAAAAGGATCACTCTACATTTTGTTTTGGAATAAATCCCAAAATAATTTCTAAACAATAGCAGATATTTGGTATTTTCTTAATTAATGAGTTCACTCAAGAGAGCATTGAAGTAAGAAACTACTGCTGACGATTGAAAAATAGACAAAGCAACATTGAGGGAAGAAAAGGAAAAAAAAAAAAAAAGTTAAAGTGAATCATTTAGAAAATTGCAGCCATCCTGATTTTGGTGTTATTGACTTAACTGTTTAGTCGTCTGTGAGAGGAGTCACTGAAGATCCTATCCAATATTAAGATGAGACACTTGCATTTCAATAGCTGGCTAATATTTATCACTGAGATAAAAATTTTTCTTCTTGTAAGGGGAAAAAACAGATTCAAACACGTGTCTCCCTTTAAGTCTATAAAAATTTGAACACACTAGCTTCTCTTCTTCACCATCTATGAAAAATGTATAATCCTGCACATGAAGCTTGAGAAATTTTGTTTTACTCAGTGCAAGTAATCAAATTGCAGAAATAGAAGTACTGTTTGGCAGCTAACAGAAAAAGAAACAGTTTTGGTCATTAGTGTACCTGAGTATTGTCAAAATCTCGGTTGTAGTGTTAAATATGATAAAGGGCAAAATCACATCTCTACATAATTAGAAGAGTAGCTAGTATGGGTGAGGGTAAGGCAGATCTCTTTGGGGTACCCCCTGAAATTGTTTTCATTGCAGGCAGGGTGGTCCCATACCAAAGAATCAGATAACAGCACATTCCCAATGTTCATCCAGTCCTCTAATAAAGCCTCCCTGGCTAAGATGAATTAAGACAGGCAATATTGTTTTCAGTCTAGTAAATCATTTGTGGACAAAAATATTGAGATCACAGTTTATCAGCAGAAATAGGTAATAAAGAAAGTACATCCTGGTAAGTTTATGAAACTCCAAGTAATTGGAAGGAATAGCGGTTTGAGAGGTGGATAGCAATATTTCACTGTGTCTCTGATGCAAACTCAATTCTGCTGCTCGAGTGGTAGCGATTTTTACAAAGTTTTAATAAGAGGGACATCTGTGACTGTAGCCGTAGTAGAGTTCATGTCCTTTATAGCATCAGTAATGTACGATAATTTAATAGGGACTTGCAGAATATAAAACAATCCTAGTGGAAGACGACTTTATGGAAACCATCTTCTACGGTTGAAGATTCTTTTAAGTATCTAGTTTAAATGAAACACTAAATACATGTCCTTTATACTTTTACTATTGCACAAGAAAGAAACCTTGTTCAACAGTCTTGGTGAAGCAAGTTATTACATTTCATGTGTTTTAGTGTGACGAGAACAATTTCTCATCTTTGGTCTGCTTCTGAAAAATTGCTTCTATGACTTGAACACAAAAAGCACGTAATAATTTCCATAATATCTGCTTTGAAACATGTGCCTGAAGAATTGGTTTATATGTTGTTCACATAGTGTTCAGTAAAATGCATAGACCCAGTTCTAAACTTGGTCATATCCTCCATCCTCCTAAAATCACCAGAATACCTCTAGTGATTTTTAATAGAATAATAAGCTTTACAGGGCTAGAATTGAGAACATAGTCTGTGTTACAGTACACCAGCATATGCTGAATATATGACATAGCTGGAGGGGCAGCCTGTGTATTTGAATCTCAGAAGTGCTGGAACCAATGTTGTAACATCATACCTGAATTTATTCTGGTTTCTGAAGACTTATATGACGGTTCCGTACTTTTTTTTTTTTTTTTTTTTTTTTGCCTCTATCTATATGTCAACTCCCTGCCTTTAGGTTTGCCTTAGAGGTTTTGAATCTGTTTGTCAATATTGTCTCAAAGAGAGAGAGTTATCAGTATTTTCTAAAAATAAAAATCTAGATAGAGGAGTGAAATCCCGTTATAGATCCCACTGTGATGAAGGCTGTGGTTGCGTTCACCCTATTTCGTTCATCAGATAAACTACACAGGAGATCATCCTCAGACAAATGCTTGGAAATAAGTTTGTGTTATTTCTACTGCTCACACATACTCCTTGCTTTATGATTCACTTAATCACTCATTCTTTGTAAAAATGAAAAAAAAAAAAAAGGAATGTGAGAAAACAAATAACAAGAAAGATGTTTTCTATGGTCATATTATTCTTAGTTATTTGACATATATTCTAATCTATTTTGGGTCTTTTTCACCAACTTTGACAATAATTTAATTTTTCTCTAGACCTTGCAGCCTTTCAGAATGGTTTTTTGGTGTTCGTTCCCTTTGAAGCCAGCTGTATTTGGCTAGGGAATTCTGAAGGGGTTATAAACCCATTTCTAGTCTCCTGGAAATCTTTCCATTTTCATTGTTGCCACAAGACTTTTTCTACATTACCATTACATAAGTTAAATTAAGAACATAGGTCTAGTCATAGTCGTAATCAATTTTCTGATTATGTAGAGAAGGAAAAAATGCTGAAGCATTAACAATTTTTAAAAGTACATTTAAATCATTATTCATTTATAGGGTTGCATTAATTTCTGAATAATGCAGCACTGTAGATGGATGATTCACAACGATGTAAAGTCTTTTGTAGTCATTTAGAGCCTCATTATATGAATCTATCACTCACCGTTTCCACCCACAGACACTTCTTGAATGGAGGCAAAATCATTATCATGCAGATAAAAGGGCGAGCCTGACAAAACAAATACAACAACAATTTTAATTAGGCTAATGTTTTTAAATTCCTATAAGGTTATAAAAGTACACTTCCAGCCATTTCAAACACAAATGGATCAGGGCTTAATTCTTTCCAGTTTGAATAAGGGACTGCATCCAACTGCAGCACCCAGAGCACCCAGCAGTGATCACAGCTCTTCTAACAGAGGCCTCTGGTTCACAAGCAGCAGGAAAAATGGCATATCCAGGTTGGTGGAAGAATATGGTAATTTAGCACATAAGCCTGCCATAAGTCTTACTTAGCCACAGAAATACTTAAAAATGAAAAAAACAAACAAACCAAACCAACAAACAAAAAACCAACAACAACAACAAAACAAAAAAACAAACCAAGCCAAAACAAAAAAAAACAAACCAAAATAATAGACAGAAAGAATAAAAACCTAGAGACACCTGCTGACACTAGAAATGGCAAAGGGATGGAGATTTGGCTCCAAACTGCTGACTCTCATGTTGTTTTGCCTTAATTCTAGTTGATTTTTGGAAAGGTTTTTTCCTATCTATTTCCTCAAATAATGTTACCTATGCATTGATTTTTTTTTTCTTCTTTATTTTCTCTTTTGAAAATATAATCTTTGTTAGAAATAAGACTGTGTCACTAATGGAAAGATGACCCTGTTGAGGAAAGTTAAAATGCTTCATCAGCCAGAAACAATGCATTTGGTTTCATTTAACTCCTCTTGGATAAGATTAAAGAGATCAACAAGTTCAGGTGAAGTATAATCAAGACTCTGATGAAAAGAAAGACAAAAATCTAGATTTATTATGAGATATTGTATGACCCATTTTTTGACTTACTGATTGTTGTGCAGTTATCACTTTTCACATTGAAAATCTAGAAAATAGGAATTTCTATGCAACTACCTTTGGACAGTTCTTGTTTGAAAGAAATTTTTTATTCCAGACTTTTTATAATTGTATGCATTTTCTTAAAAAGTGGAAGATTTAATTGTTTTATTTCTTAGCAATTCATCATGTGTTCCTCTTACATTTAGAACAACTTGATGCTCAGAATCTGCCATAGTATCTGTGTCTAGTGCTTGTTTTGTAACTATATTTAATCCTACATAGCCCTTATATCTACTCGTCTGCAAGGTTTCATACCTTCCCCTGCACTTTCTCTCCAAACTGCCATGTTACATAGGAAAGCACAGCTATTTTAATTTTTTTTTTTTTCAGACAGAGAATTGAGGTATGAGAGATACTGGTGATCAGAAGCGGTTGGGTCCCTAACCACTGAGATAAGGAGATGGGTGTTCGGGATGCTGAACTCTGTCACTGGAGGTAAGTATGGAAATGTGTGTGCTTGCCTGAGATATCCACAGTAATTGTGAGTACAAATGGTCTTCTCAGTATCTGTTTGGTATGAACATTAATTGGATCTCTTGTTTTGAAAGTGTGTGTCTAGCAGCAGCTGCAACTTCTGGCCAGAAAGGAAATCTGATATTCTGACTGTGTTCAAAAAATATCTTCCATATCAGGAAGTGAGCTGGCAATTGTCTAACTAAGGTTTCACAGCATAAATTCCTCTCTGGATTAACCTTTGCTATACAGAGGTTATTTCACTGATGTGTACTCCAGCACCTCTCTCCATTTAGAGCCTACTTTGGAGCCACGGCTTCTTACATGAAGAAATCCTTTCCCCAGGCATTATTTTATCCAAAGTACAAAAAGAATATGCAGTAAAGCAGCGTGGCAATTTGTGATGCCTCCAAATGCCAGTGAATATACCCAAATACCTGCTCCACAAATACGCTTGAGAACGTGCTCTACATCTGCTTGAGAATGTGCTCTACATCTGCTTGCAGCAATTGCGATGAAGACTAACTCCCACATCCTTGGACAGTCATGAAAGGCAAAGAAAGTCGCATCGGTGATGTTATACATGCTACTGATGTTTAGAGAGAAGATGTTAGGGTCCTGCTTTCTTAATATGGAAACCTTTTAAGATTGGGATAGATCAAATCCACCATATGACTGTAAGATGTGCAAAAGCAAAGAGTGCAGGCTCACTGGGAATAGCTATTAATACATTTGTTCTGGGTGTTACACATGCAGAGAGTTCATGTTGTTTGTTTGCTTATTTGCTTTAGGTAATTGGGCACAAATATGAAAAGGCTGCATAGCACAACTCACATTTAGTGTCTTACACTCTGGAGAGCATCAGCAGTATTGCTGAGATCAGCACTGAGGACTCCATGTATTAATTCAAAGATTCTCAGTAATAAATTTCCTGCATGCTTATAATTTTCCCTGGAAGTTCAATTCTTTTAGAAAGACAGAGATTTTTGATGGCTGGACTGAAATTAATGTAGCACAGCTTGTGCATTCAGGAGGAGGTTGCAGGCTTTGTGCGATGCTGGGCAGAGACTCTTCCTCTCTCCCACAGTGAGACCCCCAGCATGACATTTTGGACCCCAGGCAAAAAAGACAAATCTGACCCTTTTAGCCCCAACCTTGCTGCAGTGTGTCCTACAACCCAGAGGGAGTGGGTTATTTGCTTCATCAGCAAGACTATGTCTACTCAAGAGATTATGAGCTGCTTTGCACATTGACGAAGATGACAGAAGTACTCTCTGCTAATAATTCCTGTCCATTATTATCCATACCTGCCATCTTTTCACTTCTGAACAGGAGGGGACAAGCAGACCCAAAATGGTCACTGAGTACTACAACCTTGACGTTCCCTGTTGGGATCAGGGAATAGGAAGCACTTTGCAATTAATTGTTCCTACCGACGGTTTCCCTCCTAGCTGTCATTATCTTTTAAACATTTTTGTCTGAGTGGTTTATGAAATAATACTACAGGGGATGGCATTGCTGATAAGGTCTGTGTGGTGTTTGTACCAGTTACCTCAGGTTATTGAATCTAGCCAATGTCAGTTACTGTGTAAATTACATTATTATTGTTCCTCCAAAAATAATAAAGTGTGTACAAGTCAGAAGCGATACATGAATATGTAAATGATGTAGAAGGCCATTAATATCATAAAATTTTGCAGCTTAGTGCTTTGCTTGGAAATCACAGTGGTTTTATTTTGTATGTATCCAAACACAGACAGCAGATTGGTTTCCCCAAGGAAAGCCAGGTTATGGAGAAGTTATATTTCTATTACACAGCATTTGCATAGAAATGATTGCTTCCTATGGGGTTTGATGTAGTAAGAGAGCAAGAGAAAAAGGAAGTGCAGTGGTAAAACACCATGATACTGTGATTATTTTTTGAACATAGAAAGGAGGACTTGTTATACCCACTTGTAGTAGCAGTGATGGTATCAGTATGAGGCTCCTTTAAAGACAGCCTCAAATGTAATCACCTTGAAGTAATTAATGGAATTTGTCTGCCACTTGCCAAAACTGATAATGATTAGTGATATATAAAAAAAAAAAAAAAAAAAAAAAAACAAAAAAAAACCAAACCAAACCAAAACAAACAAACAACCCCAAAACCCCTAAAACAATGAAGTCTATTTTTTAGTTTTTACAGAGAACCAAACTTACTTTTACATCCTTGATGAAATGTTCAATAGAGAAGCCAAGAACAGCATAAGACACTTTCACACTCAGGAGCCACTGTTCTCCTGGGCATATTTGAGGTACCTTAGTAAGGAAACGGGAAGCTTTAAAATTGTTGCTTTTCACATGGAATAAAAATCATTAGGCACATTTCTAACAAGTGTCATTAAGTACAGAAATGCCCTCTGGGACTCGGGAAGTCCTCAGTGGAGCTTGTTGGAAGCTGGGCAAGGAGGCTGGAGAAGTCCCTTTGGAGCTTGTGGGGCACTGCTGGAGCAGGATGGAGCCCCTGCACGGTGCCTGTGGCACTGGGCTCCGGGCATCTTTGTCCAAGGACAAGCTGGGTTTTGGAGCGTTACAGAAGAAAAATACAGTCTTGCTCTTCTGACAGTTTTTCTAAAGAACATACGTTTAATGGGGGATTTAAAATCTTGTAATTTAGATAGGCTTGCTTAGCTTTTATTTGTAACTGTTCATGCTTCTTTCCTAATTACTCCTTGCCCACCAGAGATTTTGAAAGTGTGTTTTACAAACCAAGTGGGAGACAGGAGTCATGGCAGAGGGCAGCTGGAAGCCACGCCAGATGATTCAGCACAGTTGTTTTCAAATGGAGAACTGACAGGCAAATCAATTGATCATGTAAATGTTTTTAATGTGTAAACACGAATCGAATCCTTCATGGTCCTGGTACAGAAGCATATTTTCCCTCATTGAAGAGATTTTAAAGAGGAGGAAAATATTCTTATTACTGCTTTTGTCATGAGGACAGATTACTTTCTTCTTTTCCTTTCTCATTAAAACCTCTGTCAAAAAGAAGCTGTTTGGAATTTTAATGCTTTATATTTCTTGTAATTCATGATGTTTAGGCTGTAAGAATCTGACCTTTCCAGAACTCTGTGATTTGACTGACTGATTACTTCTTCTTCAAGTTACCACCCATTTTTTTCCATGTTACAAAGAGAGGTAATTAAGGAAGATTTACATGTCTGTTCAACATTTCTTTCAGTGGTGTAGGTCAGACATGTCCTATTGTTGCACTGAAGTTAAGAGGTATTAATCACTTTGTGTGAACTTACAAAGCATCCATTCCTTTTTTCAGCATTTATTGTTCTCAGGTATTCTAAATGAGAATAAAATATGCAAGACTACTTTCAAGCATGAAAATTAATGATCAAGACAGAAATTCACTATAGCTGAGTCTTTGCATGGAGCCTGGGTGTTGGCTGTGATTTCAAAATAGCTGTTTTCAACAACTTAATGGTCTTTGCACTCCAACAACAGATTCCCTCTCTTTGCTGAATAACTTACAGAGAAATTTAATGCATTTAATAAACATCTTCTAGCTGAGTTTTCAGTTTATTAAAGTTGCTTTTCATGATTCTCTGTTGCAGGTGTTTATATAACCACTGTACTGGCATTAACAAAGTATCTTCATTGACATGTTGTCCTAACCTTTGCATATTGCTAAGGTGAAATCCTCTCCCTAGCTGACATTTATATTAAACTATTTGCAGCATGAATTCCTGAATAAAAGTCCTGAATAAAATCTATTCCTGTTTGGCTACATGACATCTGCTTTGGAAACCACAGTATCCTAATTAAAACATATATTTAGAAAGGAGATTATACTCTACATGCACCTATTTTTGAGCTTGCCAAGTTTGTTAGCTCCAAGTGCAGCAAGTTAGTGTATAACACTACCAACATTCTGTGTAGACAGAATTTTTGTTAATATGGAGAAAAAATTATTATAAAGCTTAGTTCATCTTGCATTTGCCTGGTATGTCTTTTCTTCAATGCTTTTTTGTTTGGTAGAGAAACACTCAAATTTAAAAGGGGTTCTCCCCTGTGTTTCAACAACCTGATTTACTGTTTCACTGGCCAAAGGTATTTTTACTGCTTCTTTTAAAAATTATGATTCTGTTAATATTTTTGTACTAGCACATCTCTATGAGAATAACAGAATTAAATGTAAGCAGAACAGCAGCACCTCCAGCAGCAGAGGAGGGAGAAAGCCCAGTTTACTGTTCAGCCCCAAGGCTGAGTGTGAGACCAACCTTTCTTGGTAATTACGTGGGAAATTTTGATGTGTGGGCTGGTAAACACGTCTAAAGCTATTTCTGTGGATAGTTTCTCAGATTTTTACCGAATCTGATCCCACGGGCTCCACACAAACACTGTGATGAGCACCACCACAAAACTCGCTGCGGCACTGGGCATTTCGATTGAAATGGCTCATCTGAGCTTCAGCCTAGACCAGCCTCACGTGTCTTACATCTTCTGCCAGGATGACATTGCAGAGATACTTTGCTTTCCTCTTACCAGTGTTAAGATTTGATAGAGACACAAGTGAAATGTCTCCTATATTTCTCTGCCTGCAGCTTCTTGAAAACTGTGTTTATTCACATTTAACGACCAAATTATCTCAATCACTCTTGCTTTGTCTTTTCCCAGAGTTGTCCGAGGGCTTCCTTGCAGTGTTGTTGTCCAGGTCTGCGACTGTGGGTGAGCAACCTGTTGCTAAGGTGTGTGCTACGCCCTACCATCATGCCTGATGCATAGGTCTCCTGTGTATTGGTACCAGTACTGGCACTGGGCATCCTTTACTCAGTGACATTTTATTGGCTATAAAACTCTGGAAAGGCAGCTTCTGCATATTCAGAGGTAGGAAAATCTTCAGTCTTCCTTCTGTAGGATTCTGTAGGTTTGTAAAAGTCTGTTAGTGACGAGGTTGCATTTTAATGCACTTTGAAAAGCTGCAGTTGTGACGTGACGTTTCTTTTCCTGTGACAGTCATTGTCACAAAAATAGCTACGTGTTATCTGCAGAGACTCGCCGGGTGAGTTTTCTTGTGGCTGGCTGGTGACATGATTACAGACAAAAGGTTTAATGGCTCTCGTGCTGGGCACACACTTGAATGGAAAAATTAAATGAATAATCATTAAAGTTTATGGGCCAAATTCCTAAAAGTGTCCATGTTCAAGGGGAATCTAAATAGAAATATCTCATAACTTGTGCTTTTCGCTAATCCCCTTGTGCATGTGAGGTGTCAGCTTCCATTTTCATAGATAGGTGTGGACTCACTCCCCCTAACACATAATCATATTTACAGTCACCTATTTTGTCCTCGTATGCTAAAAGAATCTAAATCTAACTCTTCTTGAATATAAAAGGAAGGTGTATAGTTGCTAAGGTATTTGAGTGCAAAATGTTTTGAAAATTTAAATTGGTTATTTTTAATGTAACTTCTGCATTGCTCTGATCTGCACCTTACAAGTAATGACACTTTAGCACCTGTGTAATGCTCACGTCTCTGCTGGTTTAAAGTTAGAGAAAAAGGTGAAGTGTTGTAAATTGGTCTTAAATCTGAAGGTTTCTAATTTCAACCACTTTATCTTCTGAATTTATTTCACCCTATAACTTCTCTTAGGAATTCAATGAAGAATCTTGAGACAGATAACAAGAATCATCAATCAGTTTGTCAGGCTGGGGATAAAGATGCTGTTTGGGAAGTGAAATCACAGTGTATATTGAGGAGAAAAAATTAGAAATTATTCAACAAACCCATGGATTTTTGTTATTGAAATAAAATGTTTGAAGAACCACCTTCTTTGGACACATTTGGTTATGAAAGTTTCTTTTAATTCCTCTCTGACCCAAAAGGATCGGAAAAAACTGAATTAAAAGACCCCTTTGGATAAGACATTCACTTTAGACATCAAAGATATATGTTGCAGGTCCCCCTATGTTTGCTGCTCACAAGGGTGAGGCATCTGCTGGGGGTGACAGGAAGGAGCAGCCCCCATGCGCAGGGGAGGGTGTTAGAGCTTTTCAGCTGGGGTGGGAGATTGGGGTTTAACATCTTTCATGTTTAACATCTTCCAGTGTCAATTGATCTGAGCCATCTTCTACCTGGCATCAGCTAAAATCCAGAAATACTTAGAAACCAATGTTTCCAACCAAAGTTTTGTTTGCCTAATACTTCCTTTTTGCTCTGATTGTGCAGCTTTGATGATAACCCCTCTTCGTGTTGCCCCAGTAAATATGATCATTTGAAAGTCTTTTGGGAAAAGAAGACTAGATCTAGATCTAGTGTGTAGATCACCGTATCACCTGAAAATTCAAGAAGAATTCAGAGAATTGAGATATCTTTCTTCTGATTTTGCTCAGGCAATTCCCAACAAAATCTAACTGGGGCAGGTTTTCACTTGTGCTGATTCTTCCTGATAATTTGAGAAGCATCAAGACAGTTGACTTACCATTTTCTTCTAAGTCTCTTGAGCATCTGAAGAGACTTGGATTAAACTACAGGGGGAAAACATGAAATAGTACCTGGAAAAGGTGAATCTTTTGGCAGATGGAGTTTCAGATACTTATGAAGTGGGACTGAGAGTAAACTTTTTTGTAAAATCAGGTACAATATGTACCATTTAATACCTGCCTTGGTGTAGCAGTAGCCTTCTGAAAAATAGGGTAACATTTAGTGGTTTTATTGGTTTACTTACATGTTTAAAGCAATTTATTGTTTAAATTACTATAATACACATCTTTTCTCCCCTTGCTAATATAATTTTCTTAAATTGCTAGCTAGTTTTGGAAGACTGTGTCTTCACATTTTTTTTTAAAGTTTATATTTCAAATCTGCACAGAAAATTACCAATGAACTTGCAAACTTTGCTGTGCCTTGATTCCTGCAAACAACAGCAAAGACTGTTTCCAATTTAAATGAATGAGAGAAGTCATCGTAGAAGATTTATTTCTGCTGCCCCATTTTTCTTATTTATTTCTAACATTCTGCCCATTTGCCATGAGCTTCTTCACATTTCAGAAACAGCTAGCATTCTGTGAGAACAAATTGTGCTATTTACTTCTGTCCTCAGAGGAAACTAATGGTTTAGTGGGTGAAATGTCCAGGACAATAAGGAGAACTGGTGCTGCGTATTCCCAGACGAAGAAATATATCTTAAGTAAATTGCTCTCAGCTGAAATCATGGGATGTCATGGAAGTAGGAACTGATTTGTATTCTGTTCTTTGTGTTTCTGAAGCATCAGAGCCTGCCTGTGGGGAGGAAAAGGATGGCCTGGGCATTGCTATGCAAATAGTTTGCTTTTTGTTGGGGGGGAAAAATGGAAAATGGATTTTTATTGCATTTTTCAAATGCAATGTTTACCCTTCATCTTTAAGAGGATATATCTCTGTTATAAACCAAGAGGGAAACAGAAAATTTAAAAGGAAAAAAAATAGAGTTGTTTGAAATTGCAAGTATATCTGTGCTGTCAAAAACTTAGCTCCCTGGTTTGGTCCCAAGCGCCAATCCTCCACACTTTTCTGTTCATACTTGTGTTTTTGCTCAGCAAGGCTTAGCTTGTTTCAAAGTAAAATAAATTCCGTGATTTTTTCCCTTCTGTTTTTTTAATTGACTGATCTGCATAGTGCACCAAATCTGCCCAAGGCTCCCTGGTGACACTCTGTGCTGTTTGACCCATGTTTTGAGCCACTCTGCCAGGCTGAAGCCCAGTCCCCTCGTTTCAGGTGTACAGCAAGCTTAAAAATTACAGAACCTTTTTCTAAGAAACACAGGGGGAATATGTGAGCCTTAGAAATGGCCTGAGTCACGGGCTGTGATATGGCAGACGGCTTCAGAAGAGATCACCTCTGAGTCCTCCTGCTCTCCTGCTTGCTGGCCACCGACAGCTGCCTGGAGCAGAAACCTTTGTGTATTTAATGCAGATGCCCATTAACATGTTGCTGAAGTTATTTCGCTGCTCTTATTTTGAGTGGGAAATAAGGCAATAGATGAATGATGTGGCATGACGTGTCTTATCTTAGCCTGGAAACTATGTGTGCCAGGAGCCAGCACAAAGTGGGGGTGCAGGTGGATACGTAGAAATTCCAGTTCTGCCTCTTTTTAGGCCTGGTCTGAAGGCAGCTGAAGTCAGAGGAGATCTCCTTTAAATGCTACTTTAATCTCAAATACACGGAGATGGCATTGCTCCTTGGAGTTGCCTTGGTTCATTCTGCAGCTTCAGAAGGTCATTTTTCAGTTGGAAGACAGAAACATAAAGCGATCGTTTCAAAGGTACATAGGTGCAGCGAGGCACTTCCTGCCATGTTTCGGTACTGTTAAAAAGGCAGATTTAAAAATCTCATTAGGTATCTCTAGGCCTTTGAAATCCAGGCTTTTAGTGTTGCTATGTGTATTTAACATGATTAGTAATGTCTCCCAAATGATCTTTCCCTACATTTACTTTACACACTGCATAATTTCATTTGACACTTTGTTGACAGTCACTGGTATATTCTCACACTGAGTCTGACAGCAGGTGAATCCTGATTAGAAATTTGCCATTTCCTTTGCAAATATGTACAACTGTAAGCTAACACAAAATGACTCCTGATGTCACTGGTACATAAAGAATCTGATAATCAGGAAAGTAGTTTCCCCCCATGAACATGGTTACTGTAAGAGTCTTTTGTTTTAATTGTAAGAATAAGTTGTGAAGAGACTGTAGCTATAAAGACATTTCTTTTGAACAATTTCTGTTTTGTTTCTGTTTTCTTCAACCTGGCAAGAAGAATAATCTGTGTGGTAAATATAATTCTGTGCTTTCCACAGAGCAGATAGTCCTTAAACCTAATGTGGATTGCCTGGATTTGAGGGCAGACCAAGCAGAATTCATTTTCTAAATCCAAATAGTCTTCTGGATGACTCATGGTATCATGGTGTATCTCTGAGAGAAGTTTAAAAGTTGAGGGACTGACTTTTGCAGAAAAAAATTAGCTGGCTTTCCTGGGTAGGTATTGAAAAGGGAAAAATTCCTTGTAGTTCTACACAAGAAGTGTGATTTACTGCCAAGGCAGGGGAGCAGGAGGTTTCAGTAAATGGTTACTGTGAAATGCATGGTCTAGATTTTCATTACAAGTCCAATCATGATTTAAAGAAACTTAGAGAAAACATAAATAGCAAATTCAAATATATTTTTGAAATTTCCAGAACGGCATAAGTCACAGAAGTTCATTACATCAGATGCTATACTTTTCACCCAACATTTAAAAAATAAAATGCTCCTGAAAAGTAGCAAAACCAGAGCCTTTTAATTAAAGTTGTGAACAGCGTAATTATTTCAGTTCTCACAGCATTTGGGAGACAGCTGAAGTGTGATACTTATATATATACACATATATATGCACACATACATTCACGTAAATATAATCTAGCCTCTTCAATTTTTGGTATCATTCATCTGCATCATATGGTATAAAACAGTAAAAAAAAGTTCATTTGAGCTGATTCTGGTCTGTTCTGAAAGCTGGTGGAACGACTCCTCTGACAGCCAAGGTTCACTTGTGTCTGCTTGCAGAGCACCGAAAGTTCACACCACAGTAGCATCGGGGTCCTGAATTCCCATATCCACAAAGTTTTCTCTGTGTTGCTAAGGCCAATGTTTTCCAGGAATTCTGGATCTTTGCAGTGCTCTCACTGGTTTAGATGTTGGAGGATGGGATACCTGATCAAGCAAAGTGGTCACCTCTGTTTCCCAGATATTGCAGAGCACCGAACACCACGCCAAACCATGGCTTTGACATTCAGACAGGCGTCTAGGTAAGATCAACTGATAAGCTGTCTTGCTTTACTACAAAAATCATCTGTGCTTAGTTTGTTCTGGTCATTACTCTCCAACTCTTGCACTGGGAGTTGTGGTTCCTCAACTACACGGATGCAGCTGACGGCACTGACCTTGTCCCATCCGCCTGCTTAGTAGAGAGCAAAGCAGCCAGCGAGTCTGCCTTGCTGCTCCCTTGGACCAATAACAAATACCAATAAACTAAGAGTATCAGCTGGAGGCAGTACAAAGATGCATCCAGTGACACTCAGAGAGGCACTGGCTGATATATTCATGTGCCTGCAGTACCTCTGCCTCTTCACGAGGCGCCGCTTCCCTCCCGAACTGCACCGCAGCAGCAGAGCGCTGCCATCCCTGGCACATTTATTGTAGGGTTGGTGTGGTGGTGTGCTCCCCCCTGCCCCCAAACCTGACCTGTATTTCCTCTAACCCCCCCCAGTTGAAGTGATACCAACCAGTAGTGGTCGTAATGGGTGCGTCTGGTCGCTATGGCTGCATCTCAAATCACTCAAATCACACACCCCTCAAAGTGGTTTGGGGGGAGACAGATAACAGCACAATAGCTGAGGG